CGCTGATTTACAGGCGTCAACTATACCTAAACTAGAGTCGGTGTATAATGAGTCACGCCAAGAGTGAAGCCAAGTCTACCTATTGAACTGTCAAATCGGCTACCTATCGTGCAAAGTAAATAAACATTACGATGCTATGAAAGGTCTACGAAAGGTATTGCAATGAAATATAAAATAAAATTGAAGAAATCATCATAAACACGCAGCGAGCATTAAATGGTCATGGGATACGTTTGGTTTTGATCAGTAATGAGAATTTCTACTATTTTTTGATAAGATAATTTGACAAAATCACTGATAGTATGATTCACTACAGCCGTTAGTTTTGGTTCTCGCTAGAAGTCATTTAAAGTTGATGTAGAAGTCCTCTGTTGCCAAGTGAAAAGAAAGGGAATCCTTCGGAAACCGTGATGCGAGTTCAACTGTTTTTCTCTTGGCGTGACTCATTATACACCGACTCTAACCTAAACCATGGCCCACTTAGTAATGGAACAAACTCTTTTGCTCATGACAGCGCTCTTAGTGGACGTTTTTGGAAGCTTTTGACATCTATTTGTGGACAAAAACAATAACAATGTATTTTTTTTTTTCATTTCATAAAACGCTCTTGTTTTGGAGATAGTCACCATGCAAGAGGAGCGTAGAAAAAAAATCGTGCAAGCTGGCTAAAGTGTCAAATTTTCCTAGAAACACCATATGGCGCGTGCTAAACACGCACAGGGAAACCTTGACGATGAATCGGAAGCCTCAAAGTAAACGCCGGAGTGGAACTGCCAACCGTCAGTTCCATGGAAGGGTCGTGAGGTCCATCAGAAGCAACCCAGATATGTCCGATCGCGATTTGAGTAAAAAGTATGATGCCGCCGTAGTTCAGTGCAGCGAATTCACTACCGCGAAGACTTAATGGCATACCGCACCAGTAGTCAACCAAATCGATCACTCAAGCAGAATACCGTAGCTAGAACCCGTGCTCGAAAGCTGTATGACAACCTGCTGACCAAGTCCGGTGGGTGCATACTTATGGATGATGAAACCTATGTAAAGGCCGACTGTGGAAAGCTGCCAGAACCAAAATTTTACAAGGTGAAGCCCCGAGGAGGTGTCCCTGACAGATTCAAATTTGATTTTGCGAATAAATTCGCACGCAAATATGATCTGGCAGGAAATTTTCAGCTGCGGCCAGAAAACAAAGCTTTTCGTCACTGAGAAAATGATGATCTCGGAGGTTTACAAAACCGAAAGCGAATTCTGCCCTTCATTCAGTCACGTGATGGTCCGGTGACATTTTGGTTGGATCTTGCGAGTTGTCGCTGTAACCGGGAAGTACAACAATGGTACAATGACAACGGAGTTCAGTTTGTTTCGAAAACCTCAATTGTCCCCAGTTCAGGCCCATTGAAAACTACTGGGCAATTATGAATGGGAAACTGAAGGTTAAAGGTACAGTCATCAAAACGGCAGTTCAGATGAAAAATAGATGGGATAAAATCGCCAAACCAGTGATGAGACCGTTGTGCGTCGCTTGATGGGTCGTATTAAGGGAAAAGTTCGAAAATTCCTTCGAAACCGCGATGAATAATTCGTTTCGTTTTGTTAATATAATGAATAGTATGCACTTGAGTGAAAACCGTTTTCAAATCCGAAATAGACCCAAATGATGTTGTTCCATTACTAAGTGGGCCATGCTTTACTAAACCACTTAAGCATATGTGTGGCAAAATGAATGTTCACAACCTTGAAGCACGTCAAATTTAAGTTGAATAATAGCAAACGGAAGAGTGTTATACAGCAATTCGGATATCATCGGTGAAGCCATGAACAGGGACGTAGTGAGGGGATGGCGAAAATTACCCCCACCAAGGGCTAAGGGGTGAATTCAAATATGCTTTCCTAGCAACTTCTCAGCGCCAATAATTTCATTGTCAATTATCCAATGGGCGTGATTGCAAAGGCATTCTGCAAAGAACTGGAAAGTATTTTCTATGGTTTTCCGTTGAGAACTTTGTAATTGAGTAATTGAAAAATTTAGTTTGATTTAGTGATTTGTTTAGTTTAATTTTGAAAAATATTAAATGTGCTTTGACAGGAGGACTTCTGATAAATTTTCTGGAGAATTTCAAGGGTATTATCACAGACAAACAGACGTAACTCTTTCTCCTCAATCGTCGTATGCGTTAAAACGTATAATTTGAATATTCACGAAACTTTGTCCCCCATCCCAACGCTAGCATCAGTTCACTTTGACGTTTCTTTACATTCTATCAAAATTCTATGCAACAAGCAAGTTTTTTTCGGCAAATAGCTCGCGAGATGTCGTTAGTTAGTTCCATAACGATATTTTTAGGGAAAATTAATTTAAAGTGTTACGCCGGTTTGTCTGTGGTATTATGATAAAAAAGTTCATGGTAATTACGAGGTGAACTCCTTTGGGATTCTAATGAGAATCCCAGGTGTATTTCAAAAGAAATTCTTAGCAAAATTAAAAAGGTACTATCAGACCGGATGGATGTTTCGAGCTCTGAAGACAATTCAAATAACAATTCCCATGGATTTCTGATCACAATTCCAATAAAATCCTGATAAGTACTCAAAAGAACTTCTGACATTATATTCATAAGAATTGCGATAATTCCAAATACATCTTAAAATGAAAACAGTTCCAAAGGAACTCTAACGAGGACAATAACTTTTGAAGAACATACCAAGGAGGGATTGATTAGGGAATGTTTAGAAGAATTCCTGAGGAATAGTAGTACTTGTAGAAGCCATTAATTCTAAGGTAGTTCTGACTCAGATAATTCCTAGGAGGATGCAAAGAAAATTCCAGGAAAGCTCTGTAAAAATTTGCAACCAAATTGTTAATTTAATTCAGATATAGTAATAAGATTTTCCTATTATTGAACAACATTTACAATATTGTTGCAAGGGGAATTAAAGGTTAAAGTAATCTTCAAGATTTTGGGACTTGATTATTTTATATTCAACTTTCTGGGACTGGGACTTGCGAGATTTTAAACTTGATTTTTTGTTTCGATACGCTGGACACAGAAAATAAAATCAATGTCGGTAGCACAAAGATGAGCAACAGAACGGCGATGATGAGGTATGATGCAGGTAAGTATCAACTTTCCCTATCTTTCCAGGTTGCGGTTTTCGTTCAGGTAAGTTCAATAATTTCACTAACACTTTCTTCTCCCTTTCACGTATCCACTACTATTTATTACTAACTTTTCCTAATAATACATCCAGTTCACTTTTTATTCATACAAAATTCTCTAGCGATCAATTCTTCACCTTGTTTACGTTTCACAACGATGACGATTCAGCAAGCAAGAGACCACACCAACGACGAATCGAGCTTTTTATATCCGAGGGGTGATCGGAAGTAATTTTTCCACCATGTTGCCATTTCCGAAGGGCCGTTAACGTCATCCTTCAATGGTTGTCGGAGTCGGTCGACCTATCAATGTTCGAGGGGATCGGTGGTGTCCACGTTGCAGGTTGACATGTAGGTGGTTCTGCGATGATCTTTCGTGATGAATAATGATGATGCACGAACATTCTGGCCCCTTCAGAAATTGTATTTCTGATTATTCCTCGATGAAATGCTTCCTTCCATTGGGTAGTTTTGGTTTACCGTGTTCTACCCTGTCCGTTCGTTGAGTAGTTCCGATTTTTCGTGATCGATGTTTTGGTGATAGACGTCATCTTGTTGTCGGTCTACTGAACGACGATTGTTATTTGTTGCTGTTGCTGGCAAAAGAAAACAGAAGACCCGGTAGCGGGTTTCGCAAATATATAATTAATTGGACAGGTTCTCACCTTGTCCCTTTGAAAAAAGGGCCTTGTATAATTTATTGCAGGTCCTCTTCATTGGAGATTGATTTGGATGATCATATCCAATTAGTGCTGGTTGGTTGGAGATTCTTCGGTGAGCAGTGGATTAGACGACGAATGGTTTTCATTCAGCGGTGATGGTGCAATCGGCAGCAAACAGATTTTGGCTACCGGTCGAGTAAATTTCCCGTGAGGTGTTTGTAGAGTGACAACACGAACGATTCCATCGGTTCCAGGGTGGATCTCGGTGATTCGGGCTGTTCTCCAGCGCATGGGAGGAGCATTTTCGTCTTTAATGATGACCAGTCGTCCAATTTCAATGGTGGTTGAAGGATTTATCCACTTAGTTCGTGGCTGGAGAGTTGCCAGATATTCGATGTGCCATCTCTGCCATAAATCTTGAAAGATTTTTTGCGTTTGCTGCCAGTGACGAAGACGATTGCACGGAGTTGCTGAATAATCGTAGTCAGGAACAGATTTCAAGGTGGAACCGGTTAGAAAGTGGCCAGAAGTGAGCGCCTCAAAATCATTAGGATCGTCGCTGATTGGAACGATTGGCCTGGAATTCAAGCAGCATTCTATTTGAGCGAGGAGGGTTTCAGTGTCGTCGAAGGCCAAAGTGTGAGGTCCCAGTACTCGGAAAAAGTGTTTTTGTGCCGATGCAATTGCTGCTTCCCACAGTCCACCAAAGTGAGATGCTTTCGGCGGATTGAAGTGCCATTTTATCCCGTTTTTCGTGCATTCTTCGGCGACTGCAGCTTTATGTTCTTGACTGCGAAGTAGGTGACGTAATTCGTTGGCAGCTCCTACAAAATTTCGTCCATTGTCGCTGTAGATTTCGGAACAGAGACCTCGCCGGGAGACGAATCGTCGCAAGGCTTGGATGAACTTCGCTGTGCTCAAATCAACCACCAATTCCAGATGCACGGCTTTTGTACAGAAGCACACGAAAACAGCCACATATGCCTTTCTCGGTGCTGCTCGTCGATGATGTGGTTTGATTTGGATGGGCCCCCAATAGTCGATGCCGGTTACGGTGAACGGCCGAGTTGCAGTGACACGAGCAGCAGGTAACTCCGCCATAAATTGTTCTATCATTTTAGGACGGTTCCGGAAGCAAATGACGCAGCTGTGGACCATTCGCTTGACAAGATCCCTGGCCCCTATGATCCAATACCGGAGACGGAGTAGCGTGAGAAGAAGCTGTGGTGCTGCGTGAAGATGTCGTAGATGAAAGGATCTAACCAGCAGAGATGAGAATGCGTGTGACGATGGTAGGATGACGGGATGCTTGTTGTCGAACGAAAGTTGAGAGTTGCTAAGTCGTCCGCCGATCCGAAGAACTTGATTGTCGTCGAGAAAAGGATGAAACCATCGAAGACGAGACTTCGCTGGTACAGGTTGCCGTTGTAGTAGTTGTTGTCGTTCGCTGCCAAAACATTGTTGCTGCACTAGCTTGATTAGTGTCGATTCGGATTTGATGATTTCCTCCGTGGTGAGAAAGGTGCTTGTTGGACGCTGAGTGATTTTAAGCCGACAGTTTTGTAGAAATCGAAGACAGTACGCTGTGATCCGTAACATGCGTGCGTAGTTGGAGAACTTTCCGACATGCTCATCAATGAATGACAGTTCTTCGGCAGCTGGAACTGCCGTGACGAGTAGCTTCTTGGTTTCTTGAAGGGCTTCTTCGGGTTGATTAGAGTTGGATTGAGCTATTGGCCATTCGGAAGGTTCACGCTGTAGCCATTCGGGACCGTTCCACCAAAGATTGCTTTCGGTGAGATTATCCGCTGTTGTTCCTCTAGAGATGAGATCAGCTGGATTCTGTATTCCGGCGACGTGATTCCACGAGCAGTTTTTGGTAGCAAGCTGGATCTTGGATACTCGGTTCGCCACGAATGTTGTCCATGTAGAGGGAGAGGATTTCAGCCAGCAGAGTACTACAGTGGAATCGACCCAGAAAAATGTATCGACCGTTATTTGAAGCGAAGCCATAACCTTCTCGTAGAGTTGAGCGCCAGCAAGGGCACCGCACAGCTCAAGTCGCGGAATGCTTTGTTTCTTGAGGGGTGCGACTTTAGATTTGGAGGTCAGGAGCGCTACCTTGACGCAGCCATTGGAGTTTGTTGATCTAAGGTAGACACACGCACCGTATGCGTGATTGGAGGCGTCGGTGAAGACGTGGATTTGCAATGATGTTGATGACGGAAACAGAACGCAACGTGGTATCCGAAGCTCGTTGAGGGAGGGAAGTTGAGACTGGTACGATTCCCAACGGGTCTTGAATGTGGGTGGAAGTTCCTTATCCCAGCTCCATGTCTTTCCCTCGTCGTCCACGAGTGTCCAAATCGCTTGCATAAAGATTTTTGCTGTTGTTACGACGGGTCCAACAAGTCCAAGTGGGTCGAACAATCGTGCTATGTACGAAAGTGCGATCCGTTTTGTCAAAGCTTCGTTAGATGAGGTTGAAGAAAGTTGAGTTTTGTAGCGAAGAACGTCGGTGGCTGGCTCCCAGTGGAGCCCAAGGGTTTTTATGCACTGATCCCTGTCGAGGTCGACCGATGACTTGAGAGCCCTGTTCTCGGTCGGGACGTCTTCTACTACCGCTGGTTCATTTGAAGCCCATTTCCGTAGTTCAAATCCTCCTCTTTTGAGAAGAGATTCTAGTTGCTTTCGTAGAGTGATTGCTTCTTCTATCGTGTTCGCTCCGGAAAACAAGTCGTCAACGTAAAAGTCCTTACGAAGAACGTTGGCAGCTTCGGGGAAATCGTTCTGCTCGTCATCAGCCAGTTGCTGCAGCACTCGTGTAGCAAGAAACGGGGCGCTAGCGGTACCGTAAGTAACGGTTTTCAGCTCGTATGTTTGTAGAGGGGCTTCTGGTGACGGACTCCACACGATATGCTGCAGGTTGTTGCTACGTTGGTCCGTCAGAATCTGCCGATACATTTACTTGACATCGGCGTTGAGCAAGACCGGGTGGATTCTGGATCGCATTGTAATTGATCGCAGGTCTTCCTGCACGATAGGTCCGACCATGAGTGCGTCGTTCAGGGATGGTCCATTCGGTGTACGGCAAGACGCGTCGAAGACCACGCGTACTTTCGTAGTGGTGCTGTCCTCTCGTATGACGGCATGATGGGGAAGATGGTAAGAAGGATGTTGTGGTTGCTGGTAATCCTGCACAAGTTCCATGTGACCTAGCTGTTCGTACTCGTCCATGAAATCTCGGTACTGTTGGCAGAGTTCATCGTTTCGAGTGAGCTGACCTTGCAGGAGACGAAAGCGACGAATAGCAGTACGACGATTGTCGCCGAGGTTAGCGAGAATGTCTTCCTTCAGAGGCAAAGAAACGATGTAACGACCTTCGGGAGTTCGAGAGACCGTTCGACGAAAGTACTCTTCACATGCAGTTTCCTCCACCGAGTAACAAGTTCGTGAGCTGTCCTCTTCAAGCGACCAGAATTTCTCCATGAGATTGTTCAAATCGGCAACAGTAGCGATGTTGGCAACGATCGGAGTGATTGATGGACACTGGGTGGTTTTCCCGGAGACGACCCAGCCGAAGACGGAATTGATGAGCGTTGGCAGACCAGGACCAAGTTGGATTCTACCCGAGACTTTGAACAATTCAAAGAAGACTTCCGCACCTAGAATAAGATCAATTGGGCTGGTTCGGCAAAAAGCAGGATCTGCTAGTTGAATGCCAGGTGGAATCTCCCAAGACGATGTGTCGACAGCAGCTGAGGGCAAATCGATTGCGACTTTCGGCAGCACGAGAAATTCAACAGTGGTGTTATAGTCGCAAACACGAGAGCGGATTTTCGAGAGGAACTTGAAGCGTGATTCCGTGGAAGATTGTCCTATTCCGGCGATAGGAAGGTGGATTCGCTTACGCTGGACCTTGACAAGTTGCGAAAACGTTTCTGTGGCGAAGCAACATTCACTGCCTGAGTCTAGCAGCGCTCTAGCAGCATGTTCCGTCCCATTATCGTCGACTACGATGACTACAGCTGTGGCGAGCAGAACTCTTTTGTGTCCGTGTCCAGCGGAAGCGTAACTGACCTGCTCGTTGAGGGTTGCTGATACCGAAGCGGATGGTTGTTCGATTGATTGTTGGGTTGAATTCTCCTTCGGGTGAGGCATGTCAGCAACTTTCAAGCTAGTTGCAGCGGAACCTTGGCAAAGCTGAGTGTGATGGTGACCTCTACATTTGCGACAAGTGCTCGAAGACGGACATTCCTTGGCCATATGTCCCTTACGCAGACAGTTACGGCACAATTGGTGACGACGAACTTCTCTATCCTTCTCCTCAGCGCTCAATTTTGAAAAAACCATACATTGGTACAGAGGGTGATGATCCGAGCAAGCAACACACTTTCGTTGGTTGGTTGGACTTGCTCCGTGACTGGCAACCACTCGTTGCACCGGTTTCTTGGAGAAGTTGATCGGTGATGGAGTCTCGGTGGTCTTTCCGATAGTTTGAAGAACCGAAACTCGGCGTTGAATGAACTTCGTTAGATTCTGGAACGATACGGCGTTGAGTGTCGATGCGTGTTCTTCCCAATCCCTCCGGGTAGTGGGATCTAAACGGATGCTCAGCATGCGGATCAGCAGAATGTCCCAGTATTCCGTTTTCTCCCCGAGCTGATGAAGGACTTTCACATTGGCTTCGAACTTTTCGACCAGCGAGTGAAGCTCCGAAGCGGACTCTTTTTTAACGGAGGGAAATTCGAACAGCGAGTCGACGTATGACTGCTTTAGGCGTACGGGATTCTGGTAGTGGTCCAATAGCAGATTCCAGGCGACCTGGTAATTGTTGGCACTAATAGCGATAGTTTGCACGACCTTCAAAGCATCCCCAGAGAGCGACGAGCGAAGATAATAAAATTTCTGGATGTTCGACAGTTCATGCGAAGAGTGGACCAACGAAACGAAGAGGTCGTGGAAGTTCAACCATTGGTCTAGATTTCCGGCGAAAACTGGCAGTTTTATGTCGGGTAACCTTACATGCGACGACATAGGGCTTTGCGTGGTTAAAGAAGAAGTTGAAGAAGTGCGTGGCGACGTTGGTTCATTTTTATTGACGGCGAGCAGGAATCCCTTCACCCTGAAGTAGAACGTCTCGAATTCAATACGTTCCTTTAAGTGAGCTTCGATGGCCGCTTCATCCAGCGTTTCGAGCTCGGCTTGCATGGCATTGAAATCGTTCCAGATGGCCACAAGGTGATCCAACCGGACGGGAACCTCGTGAGCACCAGTATCCTCCTGGTAGCCATCGACGAACGACTTGATAAGTCCGAACGAGGTTAGGAGGCTCTTCTGCCTCGTCTTCAGCGATTTAATTCGCCGCTCGTTCGACATCGGGTAGGAATGTGTTGAAGGGTTGAGTCGGATCTGAAAGCCACAGACCGCGCAGCTCAAAAGGGCAATGAATAGCAAGATTGGAAACCTAATTACCTGATATCAGGCAAGCAATGCCTTGTATTTTTATCCAATCGTTGCTAGGAGCAAAAGAACCTAGATGTGGAGCGGGTAACCTCAACCTGGTGCGGCACGTGGTGTATACTCTCAGTAGGGCAGGCGGATGACCGGAGTTCGACGGTATCCGGCTCGAAGGACCAATTTGTCGGTAGCACAAAGATGAGCAACAGAACGGCGATGATGAGGTATGATGCAGGTAAGTATCAACTTTCCCTATCTTTCCAGGTTGCGGTTTTCGTTCAGGTAAGTTCAATAATTTCACTAACACTTTCTTCTCCCTTTCACGTATCCACTACTATTTATTACTAACTTTTCCTAATAATACATCCAGTTCACTTTTTATTCATACAAAATTCTCTAGCAATCAATTCTTCACCTTGTTTACGTTTCACAACGATGACGATTCAGCAAGCAAGAGACCACACCAACGACGAATCGAGCTTTTTATATCGGAGGGGTGATCGGAAGTAATTTTTCCACCATGTTGCCATTTCCGAAGGGCCGTTAACGTCATCCTTCAATGGTTGTCGGAGTCGGTCGACCTATCAATGTTCGAGGGGATCGGTGGTGTCCACGTTGCAGGTTGACATGTAGGTGGTTCTGCGATGATCTTTCGTGATGAATAATGATGATGCACGAACAATCAATAAGTAAAATTGAGATGGCGAAGTTTATGTGATTCTGAGAAAAAAAATACAACATTTGTTGAAGGCCGGAATTTTGAAATATACTGGAGATTGCGATGTTTAAAAAATCGAATGTTTTAGACTTTGAAATTTTAAGGAATATTATACTTCTGAAAAATGTGTTTAGTATCAGAATCTTTAGGATAAAAGGTTCATAGACGTTATTTTTTTTTATGTCAATTTGTAAAAGGGCGCAGTTAACCCTCACAACGCCTCTGATCAAGAATAAGACGATGATGCCCAGTCGGAGCAAGTGGGTTTTATTTGATCGTCATCTTCGACTACGTCGTACAGACTCATTACTTAAAACCTAATTTAATCTAAACGCCTTATTCTAGCACTAAACACATGTTTGGTCAAAATAAAATCAAACTCGCTACAAACATCATTAAAGGAACGCAAACAAGAATTAAAACAATTATTGAATCCAAAGTTCGTTCTGTGAAATGGAATTGCAAGTAACGGGGAATTACGGAATCGTCGAGGAGGAGTATTCCATGGAATCAGTTCCAAAAGTTCAGGACATTCCACGTTTCATGTTATGAGGTCAAAGATAAACAGTCTTTGCAATTTGAGACGCCTGGCAGAGAGGGATTCCAAATCAATCAGCTTGCATCGGTCGGGATAACTTGGAAGATTGACTGGATCATTCCAGGGGAGCTGACGCAATGCAAACCTTATAAAACTTTTCTGAATCCTTTCAACCGCAAGGATATGCGTAACGTAAAATGGAGACCAAACCGGGGAAGCATATTCTAAAATGCTGCGAACCAGCGAGCAGAATAGCGTCTTGAGACAATAAACATCGGTGAAACCAGAAGCATGACGACGAATAAAACCAAGCACAGTATACACTGAGGAAATTATCTCTACAAATTTCATAAACCCCATCGTATGAACGCATGGAAATATAAGCCTGAACCAATTTCATAAGTATCTTATGTTTTCATACTCCATTTATGGTATTCATAATTCGATACAATAAAAAGTGTACGGAAAACATTCAAATTTCATAAACCCATCGTATGAATTATTTTGGCGCAGCTTATGGCAAAAAATCATACGATCATCTTATGAGCACTATTATGGCAGTGCAAATCAAAACATCAACAAAACCCAAGATGGCGGATCCAGTTTCACGACGTGGCGCAAGAATTCGCAAACCCGTAAGTAACATTTAAATCTTATTGTTCAATTGAAGTCTACATTTTTATTTACATTTGCAGACACCTAAACTAGCTGCTGCTACTTCTGCGTTACCAATATCCGCTTCATCAACACGCCGAAAGTTACAACCTGATCGGGTAAGTGTCAGATTCAATTTTTGTTTTAATAATTTAATGCATCAGTAAAAATATTTAAATAGGAAGCGGACTCTATGATTGTATCAGCAAACAAGAGGACCCGAAAAATCGTAAGTATAAAGATCCCAGCTGATTCGTTATTTTTACTATTTTCGTTTACAGAAATCGGAATCACCTTCAATAACGGAATCAATTTTGACACCAGCCGCAGCTCCAGTTATTCAGCTGGAATCAACAATTCCTGCTGTGTTGAAGGCAACAGAGTTGAGAGTAAATGAAGTTCTTCAAACAAGAAATACGCTGAGGTCCCTGGAAAATGTAAGGCAAAACAACAAAAATCAATGCTGAAAAAACTAATCAATATCATTTTTTCTTAGCTACCACAAATTGACGTGCTGGGAAAGCTTTTAAGTAAAGCTGACAAAGCTGTACCTATTTCTCCAGCTCTACCTTCGCCGATAGCATCAGTCACAGTAAACACGACCTGCCTCGGGGTTTCACCATTCTTTGTAGCTACTTCGCCTGATAGAGTTGCTTCCCCTATTGAATCAACGTCGAAGGCTAGTGCAACAAACGGGTTGACGAATTCCGTCGAATTTTCTAAAGTTACAGGTCGAGTAACTTCACGGATTGCAGCAGGGTTAAGAGCTATCACAGCGAACGATTCCACGGGTTCCGCAGATGATTCACCAATCAATACAGCTGCCTCAACGGACCGAGTAGCATCCTTGGTTGCATCAGCATCGCAAATTTCAACTGATCGAATCGAAGATTTACCAGTTCTGACAGTTGCATCGGCTGATCGAGTAGCATCCCCGATTGCGACAAAAGCTAATGCAACGACGGTTTTGGAGGATTGCGTTGAACTTTCCCCAGTTTCAGCAGCTATATCGGCCGATCCAGTACCCACACCGATTGCATCAAAACCAAAAGCTGCCACAGCAAACGTTTTGACGGGTTTTGTCGATGTTTCTCCAATTCACACCGTAAGTTAGTTTAATGAATTTGAAAAACCATTGGACTAAATATTTTTAATTTTTTTTAGCAACCTGCATTTGAATATCAGATTTCAGCTGATTTGCTGAAATCCTTACTGCACGGAACAGTAATCGGACCACCACCAGCTGCGAAAGCTGCATTAGTTTCAGCCTTATGCCTCCAAGCTGTGTCAGGCAAGAGTTTTGAAAACAGCATCATTTCACCAGCTGAAGTATCCTACCGAGTGAATCCAGAATGTCAAAACAATGCAGACACTTCTGTACACCTGTAGAAACAGAAACGAATGTTCTGGAAATTGTAAGTACATTGATTGAAATACAAATGGCATAATAATAACTTAATTTATTAGGAATCCCAAATTGGTCATAAAATTCCTTTTGATTTGTTCGGAGCGCTCCTAGATGGAACGGTCATCAGACCAGAAATACTAACTAGAACTGAGCAAACTGCAGTGGGTATAACAGCTGATCAAGCTACACCATTAGCTTCTGCTTTTCCAACGGTTAAGCAATCTGGCTTTTATGTAGAAAACGTTGACCTGACCTTAGCTTCTACATCGAATCCTGTTGCTTCACCTTCCCAGTTGGTACTAGAATCAGCTGCATCGATCTCTAGTGACACGGATAGTAATATCGGCCCGGAAAATCCGGAAGAAACACCAAACTCATCGAACCCACAGGTGTGTACCACATAGAAAAAATATCATCCCTGTCCTATCTACTCTTCTGAGTGACACGGATAGTGATACCGGCCCGAAAAATCAGGAAGAAACACCATCCGAAACACCTATCTCTTCAGACCAACATGTGTGTGCTTTTTGTGGTTTGTGTGTTTTCTTCTGATTTGCCAGTACACAACTGTTTTTTTTTGCACTGTAAAAATCTGCATAGTAAATTGTGTATACAAATTCAAATTCAAAAATCTTCATGAAAACGTTGCATTATGTTGCTTTATGTCTATTTACGTCGTTTAAATGAACCGATAATATATTTTTTTAAAGTAAAACTAAAAATACCTTGCATAGCATAAATTAACAGGAATAATTTGAATGATTTCAAAGAATCCATGCTTTTTCTCTCCGTGCGTGCACTTAAACGCGAAGCACACTTCGATTTGTTTTTGTTTACAAGTTGCTGTTTGCTTCAGAAGTTGTTTTTAGTGATTGCTTAAAATGTAATTTGTAATTTGTAAAATGTACTCATTTATTTATATAAGAAAAACTTTTATGGCACACTTATCGTAAGTATTAATTTTAAATTTGTATTTATAGGCATTTTCCGGTTACCACTTTTCACCAGAAGTGCTAAAAAGGCTACTGAGTGGGACCGTTATCGGAACTAAGATTCTTTCCAACGCTGAAGCTGTAGAGCTCACGGAAGCTAGCAGGAAGCTTGTCACAGACGTCATTGCCCGGTATCACCTGGAAATTAACCGAAAATCTTCTTTTGAAGTATTGGATGAGTACGCTGAAGTTATCATCAAGATATTCAAGAAGGAAAAGAAGGTAAACAAACATAATATCTTATAACGTTCTGAAAATATCACCTTGTTTATAAATTTCTACAGAGTACATATTGCTCACATAGAAAGCACCGCAATCCAGGGGGAAAGTTATACAGCCGTATCAATTACATCAGGCAATCAGAAAGAAAGAGGATAAAAGAAGAGGACGATCATGTTAAAGGGATTAAGCAACCGGACACTAACACGCGAGTAGCAAATCCGGAAGCTTTGAATGCTATTTCCTGGTTGCAACTGAACAGATCTCCTTGGTCAAGTGTGCTCGTGCAATGGGAAATCTCCTTTCCAGAGAGATGCCGTGATCTGAAAAATTCAAATAAGTTTTCTTCGGTTTTGGAATCTTATCCTCACTTGTCTGACGAAACGGGTTATCAACTGGTAAGAATTTGATTGACAATTGATTGTGGATTGACACTAATTTTATATGATTTTAGCTGGATATTGATTTTCGCTTATTGGGATACGGAGACCCAGCTGTCGGCGAAAGGAAGTGGAGAACATTGATAGATGACATCGCGTTGTATATTGCGAAGCACGCTAAGGATCCATCAGCAAAAGAGTTGCTACAAATACTACGCAATCCGGATTACGGAATAGGTAAGCACCAGACAATTTTCCTAAAGCTAATAGAGGAATGTACTGCCAGTGGACGCATAATTGTCCCATATGACATTTCAACAATTTTGAAATTTTAAAGCTTACCTCCATAATTCATATGTATATACTTTTAGACTATTACATAAACACATAAACATAAACGGTGAGTCGATTTGTCCCACTTAAATTATGGACGCGTATGTCCCACTGGAACTAAAAATTGTTCTAGTGGGATAAATATCCGTCCATTATTTAAGTAAGACGAATCGACATACCACTTTTTTCGAGATTTGCGTTTTGTAACATGGGACAGTTACGCGTTCACCAGCAGTGCAACTCATTGCCAAATTAAACACACCCATACTTTTTACGTAACTTATTGAACTGTAGGGGTAAGAAAGGCATAGCGAACAAGTAGGGCATAGTGAGTATCCTGTGCTCCAACTTGGACTTCCGGCCGTTCGTAACAAGTTGGTTGGTGGCAGGATCAATATCATAATTACTACTACCAGTTGATTTGTTTCCAACTAGTGGAGATCCAGAGCCAAAGTGCAGGATGCTCACTATGCTGCACCTGTTCACTATGCCCATCCTTCCCCTACTCTTAAAGACCAATGCACATAAGTGATATCGCGGTGGGTGATGTCATCCACTCACCGCCATTTCTCAGCAGTCTTTCAACCAATTATGCTGATTTTTTTAGGGAACACCGGAAGATTTTTGTTAAGATGATATATGTAAAGTGAAGAAATAGATCAAATTATAATTTAATTATTGAATAAAAAAAGGATTGATTCAGTCAACTCTCTAAAACTCGATGTCTAGAGTTTCGGAAGCATAGTAAAAATGGATTTCATAGCTATGCTATCATGCTGAGATACTATGCTAGATTTAAGACTAAAAAAAAAAAAAAACAAAATCACGGTCTCCCTGTGCAGATTTTTTTTTTTACTGAGCTGCAGCTAAAAAGTCAGTTAATTAAAAAAAAAAATGGTTAAAACTCTTAACAACTTATTACGCATTTTACACCAAATTAGACTACTGTACAAAAAATAGTTGCACAGTAATATTTTCATACAGTTGAAGAATCAACTTATTTGATAATAGTAGCAGCTATAGAACAGTACTGACAAGCTGCACTGTTGAATTTTAGCTCTAGAAAACTTAAGAAGATCAATATTTAATTTTTATGACCAGTGCGAAAAGATTACTGTGTACTTATTTTTAGCACAGTAGTCTAATCAGGTGTTAAATCCGCAATATGTTTTTCCTGAACTTATGTCGTTTTAGTTTTTGCGGTGTAGCACTGGTGTAGTGTAAGCAGGAACAAACACGAGTCTTTGACAGCTCAACATCATTTGTTTGTAAACAAAGGTGCATCCTATATCTACACCCTAAAATATTTCGGTGTACGGCAGTGTAGCACCGGTGTAGCTACACCGCAAAAACGAAAACGTCATTATACAGACGATGCTCTTTTATTGTTGCCTGATAATAAAAAAATAAAATTTGTTAAAATAGTTTGTTAGTGAAAAAAATACTGACACCTGTAAAATAATCTATGTGTGTACTGCCTATTGCCCATTGGTCCAGAGAGCAAATTTAGCTGCAAAGATGGATTTTGAGCTTGAAATTTAAACTTTAGCAAAAAGTTGTCTTCAGCAAAGTTGGTGCTATTAGTTAGGCGCTTATTTTAGTGTCAAGATATACTAGGGTGGTCCTTATTATCAATAAAATCAAAAATCTAACTTTCTTATTTTAAGAGATAGAGGCATTTATTCTTCGGCAAGGTTGTAGCTTAGTAAATTTCAACCAACTTAAAAAAAAAGTTTTAAAAAAGTTGGAAAATAACCGATCTTGAGAATTTTTTTATATGTTGACCTAGGGTGTTTCTAAAAAGATCAGTTATTTTACTCTAACTTTCTTACTTTAATTTTTATGAAAAAGTCGTCTTCTAATGAATTTTAGATCTGTTCAAGACGCAACTTTTGACGCTAGAGGACTGTGAAAATATTGACCTGTGAAGAGTAATTAAAGTTTTTCTATTAAAAATATTCCCTTTTCAAATTTTACCATCTCTCATTGGGGCAAACAAAACAAAAGTTCATTTCATGACATTTGAAGAACGCATTTTATTCTCATTATTATTCAAAAATAAGAGGTATGTTATTTTTTAAACTCGTATAAAATCAATTTGAATTTGTTCATTTTTTTATTATAATTGGGTATATATTTTTTATTACAAGAGATACAGACAACAACTTTTCCTATAAAACATGCGTCTTGAGGAGCTTTAAAAGTCTTTCCAATTTAATTTTCATGGGAAACTTGAAATAAAAAAGTTATCGGCAAAAAATGGTTTTCATCGGACCACTCTAATGACAGATTTAAATAAAATGTGCTTGTACATTTGTTTCAATATTTGAACTTTTAGTGTCTTCGGAGAAGTTTTATGGTTAAAAATTTTATTCTTTTGGTGTATTCATACGTCAGGGTGGTCCTCAAATTAGATGATATTTTAAAACTAAATTTTTTATTTTACAAAATAAAGACATGCACGCATAGAAATTTTTACAGAAATCTGTAAAATTTTACCGAAATCTCAACAGCTGAATGTTCGGTAAACAGTTTCGCATAGTTCCTGTAATTTTTCACAAATATCTGTGAATTTTCCACAGATATCTGTAAATAATTACAGGAAAACTGTAAAATTGTTTACCGACCGTTCAGCTGTTGAGATTTCCGTAAAATTTTACAGAGATCTGTAAAATAATCTTAGTGTGTGTGTTGTTCAAAAAAGATGTAGCTGAGTTAATTTCAAGCAACTTTGTAGCAAATAGTTTTTTTTCTATCTCTTAACGTTCTCGTTTTAGAGTAATTTTTCGAAGTTGACTTAGGATATTCCTGGAATATTTTTTTAGCACTAACTTTTTTATTTCAAATTTCTCATGAAAGTTATCTTTCAGAGACTTTAAAAGCTCTTCAAGACGCATGTTTAAGAGGAAAAATTGTAGCCTGTATCGCTTGTAATAAAAAAGATACACCCAATTATAGTATAAAAAAAATTATCAATTCAAATTGGTTTTATACGAGTTTAAAAAAATAGCATATCCCTAATTTTTTGACATTATTGAGAACAAAATGCGCTCTTTCAAATGTCATAAAACGATGATTTTTGCCCCAATCAGAGATATTAACATATGAAAAGGGCATATTTTTAAAGAAAAACTTGAATTACTCTTCACATGTTAAATAGTTTTAACACAAACGAAGTGACAGACGGAGCGGCTCGAAAACTTTGGTGACTAACCTGCTATTTCAATTTTTCAGTGTACCACATGGCAACACCACTACTACTGGATTGTACCACATGGCAACACTACTACTGGATTGTACTAGCATTTTCACCAAATGTATTAGAATGTTTTGGTTCTATCTCTTTCACTCTACTCAAAACTGAAATGCATAAAAAAAATTACAAAATGATACACTCTTTGCACACTGCCAAAGAATCATTGTACACAAAATCAACTTTGTTCAAATCAAAACAAAAAAACTAACCCATCTGGTGGATGATGGCACAAGCTTCCAAGAAAATTCTATTACAGTGAACCACATTATTTTAATGGATTTCTTCGCCAGTTAGTCGTCTGTCACTTCGTTTGTGGTTTTACAAACAGCGTCAAAATGTGCGTCTTGAACAGATCAAAAATTTATTAGAAGACCACTTTATCATAAAAATTAAAACAAGAAAGTTAGAGTAAAATATCTGATTTTATTTTATTTTATTTTTTTTTGCTTTATTATAGAGACTTTCAGCCTGTAGCTGGTTCGTCTCTTGATTTTACTTTAGAGACACCCTAGGTCAACATATAAAAACTGCTCTAAATCGGTTATTTTCCAACCTTTTTAAAACTTTTTTTTAAGTTGGTTGAATTTTAATAGGCTCCAACTTTTTTTATTGATAATAGTGGTTCTTATCTTATCTAGTATCTCTTGACACTAAAGTAAGCGCATAAGTAATGGCATCAACTCTTGCTAAAGTTTCAATTTCAAGCTCAAAATCCACCTTTCCAGCTAAATTTGCTTTCTGGAACACTGTGCATTGAAATTCCTCATGAGGGGTGACATTGAACCAAAACAAAAAATTTGGTTTAATTGTCTTAAAATATGGTAAATGTCACGTAGATATTAGGAGTACAAATATGTGCTTACCAATGGAAATTTTTAAATAACGCTTTTTTCTTGTATTAACGGTACTTAACTTTACAACACTATTTAAACAAAGCTACTTGTAAATTTATTATACGCTTTACTCCAGGAGTTCAAGAAACATGTTTTGGCCATCATTTTCTTTATATTAAAGATATTTGCTACATAAAACATTTTTAATTCTTGGCCTAATGTCACCCCCACTTACGGTATTCAATAACCAAGAATTCTTCAATTGCACAAGAGCTTAAATTACTTTTTGTTAGAATAGCATTTGTTTGAATAACCTGTTAATAAATTAAATTTGGTTTGGTTTATTTTCAGATGTTCGTCTATGCGCTACGCTTCTTGGATTGAATACGGTGCTTATACCTGTAAAAGCAGCAAAAGGGTTCAAACCGACTGTAGCCACAGCGCAAAATGAAACGTTTTGGCTTTGCCTGGATGGAAATGCAGCCCAATCTAAACTAGAAGCTGAGCGATCTCTATGGAATAAGCAAGCAGAGCCGGAAATTCCAAAGCTGATCGTGTTTGGAGCTAGCCTCGAAATAGTATCGCCAACTTGCTTCGTAACTTACAAAGATATTGGATATAAATTATCAAGTATTTCTCGAGGAGTGGATGTACTTTTGAAGCTGATTCTAGTTTTCCATCTTCCAGTTTCAAAAATTTCGAAACTTGTGTGGTTATTCATTCAGCAGTTCGTGTATGGAGTGAATGCAGATTATACGTACGTCAACGTGACTAAACTTACGGAATATCTCGACAAAAAGCAAACATGTTAATTAACTGTTGTATTGAAACATGTACGAGAAAGTTCTCGTCAGCAAGCGATCTTCTTCAACATGTAAAAAATATTCATAAGACTCCAGCAAGTTATAATTACAAATGTACCTTCCCGCAATGTATTCAGGTTTTTAGTAAAGTATATACATTTAAGAGGCATCTTATTAATCATAACTTTGAAAGTTCTTCAAATCCTGTGACACACAATACTGAGCCTGAACACTTTGAACCAAACGTGCAACCACACGAATTGTTCGAACATACGGCTGAATTTCGAGAAAATAATTTGGTTCAGTCAAACGTGGAAATCATTAAAAAGTCAGCAATTGATTTTACCCTTAGTATGCACAGTAAACCAAATTTTTCAAGACATGATGTTAGGGATATACAGGAACAAGTGCAAACATTCTGTACAACAGTTGCAAATAGCATTGAAACTGTTAATTTAAACATCAACAACCCAGAGACACAACACCAATTGGATACATATTTGAAGCATATGAAAACGGGATTTGACTTCATTAAAACTGATTTCAAATTCTTCAAACAGCTGATGAGTTTAGGTATTTATATGCCACCAATTATTATTAGTTTGGAAAAGGATGGAGTGAGATTGTCACAAGTTGAAAACATTGATAGGAATGAGCGCAGGTCGTGTCTTGTATTGAACCCAATAGAGTTTCACATAAGAAAATTTTTTGAGAGTGGAAATATTTTCAATCAAACTGTAGAACACACAAAATTTCTGGAATTGTCCTCAAAAATAACAAACTTTGTTAATGCAAGTGTTTGGCAAGATGTGAAGAAAAAATATAATGTAAATGAAAATAATTACTTAATACCATTATGGCTCTATGCTGACGAATTCGAGATTAATGATGTGCAGAGTTCACACAACAAAATCGACTCGATTTGTGGAGTTTATTACAGTTTTCCTACTCTTCCAGATGAATACGTTTCAAAACTGAGCTCTATATTTGTTGCAGGAGTAATAAGGAAGCATGTTTTGAATAGAACAGGAGTCGATATATTACTAGAGCAGTTGATGATTCCACTTAAAAAGATTGAAGAGGAAGGTATCATGCTTCAAGTAAATGGACGGCAAATCAGAGCCAGATTTGTGTTTAGCCTTTTCCAAGGGGATAATCTTGGAATTCATGATATATTAATGTTTTCTACCAGTTTTAATGCAACATATTACTGCCGTTTTTGCAAGAGATTCAAACAACAATTACAAACTGACTGTGAAGAGCATGAGGATAGTTTGCGAACTGTTGAAAACTACGAAGAAGACGTTTTAGCAGATAAACATTCAGAAACAGGGATAGCAGGAGCTTGTTCATTTAACAAAATGCCTTCTTTTCACGTTATGGTCAACCTCACTGTAGATGCCATGCATGACCTTTTCAGTAACGGTGTTTGTAAATTTGCATTTACCTCTATTCTTAATAATCTGATATATACAAAACAGTGTTTAACGTTGTCCAATCTCAATGCACGAATGGCAATCGTTGCTAATGCGTCTACAGACATTGGCTTACGAAGATTGCAAACCATTGAAGCAGCATATGATAAAAAAAGAAAAGGAAAATCAGTTAAGCTACGAATGACAGCAGATGAAATGAGAGCGTTTTATCACAATTTTACAATTATAGTAGGCCCGTATGTTCCAACTGATGATCCTGTTTGGAAATATTGCAAGGTGTTGATACGAATGATAGATTTGATTCTATCATTAAGTTTTTCAATAGAAGATTTAAATCAGTTGGAAAAACTGATTGCTGAGCACCATCGTCTCTATCAAGACTTGTTTCAAGAGCATTTGAAGCCGAAGCAGCATTTCCTTAATCATTACTCAAAAGTTATTAAATCGTGTGGGCCCGTCACTCGTACGATGTGTTTTCGAAATGAGGCGAAGCATCAGAAGTTTAAAGAATACTCACATGTTATTTCTTCTAGACTGAATATAGCATATACCTTATGCATTAAGTCTTGTCTGCAGTTCACGCATGACTTGAATAATAGAAATTTTGAACCCACTCTCGTTGAAGGCAATTTTGTATACGGAACGCTGACCTCTAGACCGTATTATGAGCATGTTGATGGAAATTCACCATTTCACAAGGAGAAGACCGTAGGCTTTGGTTATTCTTGTAAATTCAAGGGAACGCTATTTTGTGGAAGTCAATTTGTGACGCAAACAGATGGGCACAGTTTAAAACTATTTGAGATAGAAGAGTGTGTGAATGATGAGAATACTGTTTATATAGTTTGCCGAAAATGGAAAATAAAAGGTTACGTAGAACACTATGTGGCATACGAAGCAATAGAAAGAGAGAAGACAATGTTATTAGTTAGCATAGAAGACTTAGATGGTCCACCATTCAGTTTACATGATGTCAATAACCAATTTGTATTTAGGAATAAGTATACGTTTGTCAAGTAGAGTTAAAAATATTTGTCAAGGAGATAAAATAAAATAAATGTAATAATAAGGGTAAATGACAGCTTCGGCAATACCTTTACATACTATCGTGAGGGGGGTAAACAAAGTCGTTGAGTGCTCAAATTTGACCAGTCGATGCTCTGAGACATGATGTATCATTATGCAAAAAATGCGTGCTCAAAGACTTCATTTACAGGGGGGACGATAATAGGTAAAGGTATTGTCAAAACCGTCGTTTACCCTATGTAATTAGGTGAATAAACACTATACTTAAAAATCCAAAATCACATTTTTTAGTACAGCAGCCTATTCTACTCACTAGTAAGGTGAGGTAACTAGTGAAGTGATCTTAGTCTCCTCGTGGAGTATCACGCCACCACGCGATAACTATTGTCACTTCACTCACTTATATTCACTCAATATAATAAATATAATAAATAATTGATTGGTTTAACGGCTTTCTCAGTCTTAATCTCACTCTAAAGGCTACGATTTAATCTGCGATTAGGTTTTGGTTCATGGTCCATGGCCGAAACGTCGGGCAGTTTAAATCGTTGTCGTTAGAGAGAGATTAAGACTTAGAAAGCCGTTAAACTAAGCAATCATTCAAGTACTAGTCGTCACCATCACTAATATAGTAATTTATCAACTCAAACTATATTTTTCATTCATATCCGTTATGAGTTTCATACGAAATGACAAATGAAATTGTTCGTAATATCCAATGATAGCTATCGTTCGTTTGTATTGAGATTCATAGTTATATGCATGAAAAATCATACGATGGCTGATTGAAAAAAAACTGACAGTTCTTCATAGTTCGGTCGTATGAAATTCAACATAAAATCTTGTCGCAAAAAATCATACGATATTTCTATGAAATTCGTTTGATTAATAATCTCAGTGTATGCTTTAGCAGTTACGATGTTTATGTGTTCGTTAAACCTTAGCTTCGAATCGATCGTAATACCTAGATCACAGATTGAAATTGCACGTTCTAGAGAATCCGGCCCATGTAATATTGATGGTGAATAACGTTGTTGCAGCGAGTGAAGGATATTATTTTGCACTATTTGCTGTTTACGCGCATGCCGTTGTCACCGCACCAGACTATCACACGATGTATATCTTCTTGCAACGCGACACAGTCAGTGGGAGAAACAATCACACGGAAAAATTTTAGATCATCGGCAAAAGAAAGTTTGGATGATGAGAGCATGTCACACAGGTCATTAACATAAATGATAAAAATAAGAGGACCCAGAACACTGCCTTGTGGCACGCCAGATGGTATGTTGAAAGTCCTGGAGCGTGCGGAATTCACCATCACGAAAGCATTGCGATTAGACAGGTATGAATAGAGCCATTCAGTGATCCATGTCGGAAATCCAATGTGGTTCATTTTGGCAGCGATGAGATTGTGCGGTACTGTATCAAACGCTTTCGCAAAATCAACATAAACCGAATCCACTTGTTGCTTCGATTCTAAGCTACGGGATATCGCTGATACATAACACATTAAGTTCGATGTTGTTGAACGATGCTGACTGTTGGAGATGATCGGTGCAGCAGCTCTGTACAAAACGGTGTGGATCAGTTTCTCAAATACCTTACTGAGACTACAAAGTATGGATACACCTCGATAATTGGTGACACACTTGTAGCTTCCGGATTTATGGATCGGTACTATGGACGCCATTTTCCATGCATTTGGGAACGTTCTGTCTTGGAGCGAACGGTTGAAAACAGCAGCGATGGGCGTCGCCAGCGTAGCGGCGCAGTTCTTCAAAAACACAGGAGGCAAGCTGTCTGTTCCGGGTCCTTTCTTTGAATCAAGCTCATCGAGAACTTTCTGTACTTCGTCTGGAGAAAACTGTATACACGGTAGATTAATGTTATGGGACGGTATCTGTTCAAAACAGTTTTGACGTTGCATGGGTGATGCTTTACTAAACACGCTCTCGAAGAAAGTAGCAAAAAGATTGGCTGCTTCTGAGCTTGACCGAGAAGTAGTTCCATCGAAGTTGACTGAGCCAGGGATTCTATTTCCAGCTTTCCGTTTCTTGATGAAGTCCCAGAAGCGTGAAGGATTTTGCTTGACGGTTGACTGAATACTGAGCAAATAGTTTTCATGTGTTGCAGAAAGAATGACTTTGTACTCCAACTCAAGCTCACGGAGTCTAGCTTTGTCAGACCCAGTTTTTGTAAGGAATATCGGTTGCGCATCTTACGTACATTGTTACGAAGGTTACGTAGCTCAGGAGTCCACCACGGTTGGTTGAAAACAGATATCGATTTTTGTCTTTTTCGAGGTACATGACGGTTGATAACTTCTGAGAGAGATTCGTAAAAAGCTGATAGCATCTGATCTACCGTACCATTATTCGATAATTGTTCCCACTCAATATCCATAAAAGTAGAGTTCAACAAGTCAAAGTCGCATGCCGAATAGTCAAATTTGAAACAATGATCATGATCGTCAAGTAGTGTTGGTGCGTCACTCTCGTCAAGTAGTAAAATAACTGGTGTGTGATGGTTATCTATAGGCAACAGCGGAGAAGATGGTGCAATCAGGTCAAGATATTCCGGTAGATTGGTAAAAACAAGGTCCAGCAGTCTGCCATTTGTGTTGACGAAACTATTAATCTGTCTCAACCCGTTGGCAAACATTGCTTCTGTAAAGTTCAACTCAGTATCAGTAGATACATTCGAAGGAATGAATCCATTAATGTCCTCGTCAAGATGCCATCGCAAATTAGGAAGGTTGAAATCGCCAACCGACAAGATTATGTCAGACTCCGATAGACGATCTGCAACAAGTTGCACTGCATTAGCATGAGCAGTATATAACTCGGTACTCGAATTAGGTGGGAGATAGATAGCAACTACGTAAAGCGAACGAAGTTGTGACTTTATGCAAACTGCGATTTGTTCTAGTTCATTACAGTTAGCCATCGAAACAGATTCACACTCCAGTGTGTTCTTAACCGCAATCAGCACTCCACCACCCCGCAAATGACAACTGGTCAATTCATTGCGATCACAACGGAAAAAAACGTAATCAGACGAGATTTCACAGCTATCAATATCTGCACGGAGCCATGTTTCCGTAAAGACAAGTACGTCATAATCACAACTGGACAACAGCAAACGCAGCTGAGCAATTTTTGTGCGCAAACCCCTGACATTCTGGTAGTATACACAGAAAACATGCGATCTGAAACACGCTTCGTTGCGATGGGTACTTCGAGATGCGACGCTAGATGGTATGTTGGCATGCTGGGTGAAACGACGCTTGTTGCAACAGCTTCGGTCAGAGATGTTTCAACAATTTCAATAGCTTCGGTTGGAGTGTGGCAGCTAGAAGCGATGGACATTACTGGAGGAGAAGTATTCCAAATGTGTGTATACTTGCCTGCGATGACGGTTTGGAAGACCCCTTCTCCATTCTCATACACAGGAGCGGGATGACTGCTGAACGCTGGCAGAAGTGGCTCGACTGTAATGAGGGGATTAGGGGCTTCCATGAGGATTGCAGGCGTGCATCCCGGAACCGGAACAATTGATACAGATGGTGAAAAACGATCGTGAAGTGGTTGACTGGAAACGTCGGAAGTATCAGGTATATCATTTTCGATATTGAATACATACTTGCCTGTAGTAGTGGCTTGGAAGACCCATTCTCTTTAAGAGCTTCTAGGATCCCAGATCTGATGATACAACCCAAGTCAATCGGAATACATGGGAATTTGAACGGACATATTTATCTAATTATACAATTTAAAAAGATTTCCTATTATTGAGAAAACCTAGGGACACGCAATAGCTTTTAATTCCGATGCAGGCAACGGCTGTAATTAAATTAATTCCATAAACTACTGCATTAATTACATTAATTACAAAGTGCAGAGCATTAACTACTTTTTAAGTCCATTAATTACAGTCAAAATTTCTTAATTAAAGTATGCACATTAATCACATTTCCAGTAGTTGTAATTAGATGAAGTACGGACTACGGATAATGAATGTTAATTACCTTCAGTCAGTACTACTTCAAACTAAATTATATGAAGAGCTTTGAGTGGGTTGGTTTATTTCCTTTTAATTCCGTTATAATTGCTTATCTTTTGACAGATACGCGTATTTCGTCTACTACTTGCAGACTTCATCAGTGCCAAGTACTCAACACCACTGAGTACTTGGCACTGATGAAGTCTGCAAGTAGTAAACGAAATACGCGTATCTGTCAAAAGATAAGCAATTATAACGGAATTAAAAGGAAATAAACCAACCCACTCAAAGCTCTTCATAAAGGGATTCCGTTAAGAGGTTCGACAAATTTAAAGGATTAAATTATATACTGTAAGTATTTTTAATTGCATTGTACATGTTTTCAGAGATATTTAGTTTACCTGCTTGGTCAACTTAGATTTGGCTCCGCTCTTTGAAAGTGAGGTATTAATTTTATAGAATAGGTTTAGGTGAATCCATAGATGAAGGAATATTTTTGCTAGCAAAATCGTTGAGGAAACCAAAAAAAAAATACAAAAGTATGCATTTCATGGAAATTTGATTTTGCCTACTCAGTCAACTTTAATTTTTGCACATGTATGTATTCAGCAAGGTCCATTCAGTAAAATTTGAGCAGCGTTTCTCAATCTTCCTTTTCTTCCCAACCTTTCAATATTGAATAAAATTTTGTTTTAATGTGATGCAGAATGTGTATACATATATTACCTGAAACTTTAAAACGGATAAACATTGAATAACATAAAATTCCCACGGTGGGTTGTGTCCCATAGATTGAGAAAAGCTGGTTTAAGGAATAATACTTCCCCTTGTTGCAGAATCGCCGTTCTGTTCAAATCACCCCCACCGTACAGTAGGGGCACGATTTTTGCATCAATCAACAACTCTCTCTACTCGCTGTTCTCACCACAAAGCCCTCTGCCATGCTTGTAGCCTACTACGACGAATACGTACCGTAATCTCTCGCTCGCTTGCTCGTGCACCACACATGCCCAACTGCTATGCTATGCTATAACTACCACCACCCCGGCTACTATGATTGAACTGGAGAAAGAAGGCTCTCCTCACAACACAAATCGAACTCAGCTCAGCTCAGCACCCAGTCAGTCCAGTCAAGCAAGAGTCAGAAGAGTTTGCACTTTGGCATAGTTCGGTCGAATCTTCTTGCGGCTACGTCGGTGTGTAATGGCGGAATAAAAGTGTGTAGAGTGTACCTTAACCTGTGCGTTTGATCTAGTTTTTCAATTTCTGCTGCAATTGGCAGAAAATTTGCGAAAGAAACCCAAAAAACTGAATGCGATTGCGATAATTGCACGCGTGAAGCACTCTGTTTTGCGAGTTAGCGAGTGAGTGAGTTGTACGCGACTTGGAGGAAGAGTTGGCGACGAGTCGCCGTCAAATTGTAATCCCCGTGCAGAGCAGCTTATCACTGAAAGGTAGTTTTGTAATATTCCTTTTCTCGATGCTTATGGTGTTGTCTAGCTTGTGGTTGTCAATATTTTTTTTTTCTTCATGTTGGGGCTAATCTCAAAGGCGTAGTGATTAGTGATCGAAGAGAAAGGGGGAAGGCGACCGAAGCTTTGCGGTTTTGCTTGCGGGAAAGTTCCTAGTCGTAATTCAGGTGGCATTTAAATACCTTCCATGCTCACTGGGCTGAGACGGGAGAGGTGTCCTGTTTCTTCTAATCGTACCCAGATTATGCACTTGTAAGGATCTGGAGGAAGTCGGGAAGTGAGTGGAAGTGGGTTTTCTTGAACGCAAACAAGGCGTACAAGGAAGTGCACAGGGATGAAAAAAAAAGAAGAAGGAAAAACGTCAAGTGATGTGAAAAGAAAATCCTGCTGAGCTCTACAACAACCCAACAGCCACCGAATCCCATACAGCGAAACCTTCTGGGTGGTGGTGTTGGGTTACGTTTTCGTACGATTGTATAAAGGTCGGTATATTAGTGATGGTGGTGGTGTTGTGAGTTGAATTCTGGGCAAGAGAAGAGCCCAACACGCCTGCTTGGTTCTACGGTGCTGTGTGTTGTTATTTATAGGCGTTCGATACTAGTATAGTGTATGGTGTTTGTAAACGACGTCGGTCAAGATAACGCCGAGAACTGACTCCCCTGTGCGAAGGAATTTCCGAGGAGTGAATAATGTGAATAAACAACAAGAATAACCGTGCAACCTGTTTCCGCGAAGGAAGGGGTTTTTCGGTGGCTCGAGCTTTTCTCTTGTGCAATACCTGCATTTGTGGGCCCAAAGGTAAGAAAGCGGGACTAGTGAGAGGCTGCTTAGGTTGCTAATTCGCGATAACGAGAGCTTCGTTGTGGTCGTCGTCGTCGTCGTAGCCGCGCGCTACTTCCGCAGGTCAGGTCATCTGAGAACAGGTATCCCATTCGATGAATAAATACAGTTAGATGAAGGGGGGAACTTGAATTTTGCAGATTCCATTTCTTGTTCTTGACCATGGAATGGATCACATCATTCGAGCAGTTTAAAATTAAGTTTTCTACCTCTTCACCACTGTGCAATATTATTAAATTATGTCTTTCAGAACTTCGAGAAAATCCTCATCTCATTTTCTTAAAATTGCTTGTAGAGGAATATCCTTAAGGACGAGATTGATAGAAGCCACAAATGGCCGCTATCATGGATGATTTTCAAGGCAAATCAGCGAATGCCATGAAACTTCAGTTTGTGGAAAGACGTTTAAGATTGAAGCTGGAAGAAGGAATTTAACAAAATAACGATCAAGGAAACGCTAAAGAGCACCGGACACGACAATGGTGCAAACTAAAGAGGCCGAATTCATAAAGAGACGGCATGTGAAATTGGAACAATTGATTATCTGTCGATTAAGTCGTAAGAAATGTTATTCCAATCGAGCAGAAGACCTGTCAAATAGATAAGATGTCACCTCTTTACCCAATTCAGTCTCTTTAGTGCATACTACTTTCAATTTCAATGAGGAAACGGTTTAGTATCCAAATTGGAACGAAATCTGGCGAGAGCGATAAATCCGCGGGATAGATTGACGATCGTTCAAGAGATTGAATGTGAGAGTCAAATTTTTTTGTGCGTCAATACAATCCTTAGCTTGACTCCTGCGAGAGTTTATGGATTCCTTGAGCGATTGTTCCTTTGCAATCTCTTGTGAGGGACAACTTGACTCCTGCGTGTTTCAATGGATACCTTCAGTGGCAGATCCAATATATAGAATGCCTTGTGAGGGACAACTTAACTTATGCGTGAAGTTAGCAATTAACATCAACAATTGGAGATGTTTAACGCCAATATCAGACTTAAAGTGAACATTTCATACGGTGGATGAGGAGATGAAAGTATAGAATTGATAGTTCCGTTATAGTACGGTAGTGGTGTGAAAATTGTATATAGAAAGTAGAAAGCGAACAAAGGACAATTTTGACGAAGGTGCGAATCGGATCAAGCATTCCCTTTACCAAACTCATCCGTGAGGGGTGGTGAAGGGTTCTCCCCCAGCTATCACTGGCAAAAGGAATGATCACCTATTCGCTCATGTACCACCGATGTGTGGAAACGGAGAATTGCTCAATTGCTCAGGATTGTGATTCCGATTATTAAATTGTTAGGAGTAGTATGATTCAGATGTGCCTTATATTTGGATTATGATGTATGTTTGAAACAACGTAGGCTTTTTATCATTGGATTATAAGCCTGGTAAGCTCAGATAATCAGCTGCTCAAACAGTGTTTATTATTGAGATAATGCTGTAAAGGAATATTATTAATTAAGACAAACTTGGATTTGAATGCTATTTTTGAAAAATTGTGGTCTTTTACTTTCATTGTGAGCTTATGAGCCTTATAAGCTCAGAAGAGTAGCTACTCAATGAGAAATTGTGATTATGAGAATGTACTATTGCACGATTTCTAAGTTTCTTGGATTAGGTTGTATGATTGAACTGATTCAGATATACGTTTGATATGGGTTTGAATGTATTTTTGGGGTCCTTTCTTTCCATTGTGAACCTATAATTCTGGTAAGCTCAGATAATTCGCTGAGAATTGTCAGAACGATTCTAATGGTTGATGGATGAGGAAATCGATCAATGTTACTTAGGACCTTATGCAATTAATCATTGCCACCAGGGCGTCACAATATCAGCTTCAATCAACCAAATCGATGCGACGAAGAGACTGCTGGCTTTCTTTTTCTGTTAAAGTCGAACAGCTTCGCAGCATTCTAGAACCTCAGTCGGTGTGCACAAACAAATGTTCAATCGCTTGTCTCTCTTTCTCCCGTCGCTACATTGGTCGTCCTTTCAAGCTTCGGTGAAACGGATGAGCAAAAGAGCGCTCGACTTTGATAGTTTTCTCTTTCATGAAACACATCAACAGAGGTTTCATGACGTATATGACGGAAAATGAAAATACATATTTAAAGCATTTCTCACGTGAAAACACTTGAAGATTACACGCAATATGTTTAATTTATCTTCCATCCACATATTTATCTAAAAAAAATTAACGAAAACGGAACATAACGCATTCTAAACAAACTGAAAGAGCGGTGATAGAGTGTTCATGAAAGGGGATTGAAAGCCATAATGAGGTTTCGTTTAACTAGAAAATCGACGTTACAAACATTGAAGGCGATGAGCAAAGCAACGACGAGAAGATTCACAGCCAGCGTTTCCTTCTGAGCGTGCTTCTTTTTCATTGTCATTTCTTGCTGATAGTCTGGCTAGGCGTTATAGAAATGAAGCGTTCAACACGTTTGTATGAGAGAAACAAAACTCGAGTTCATTTTAGAGCTTCGAAAATGTAGAGCCCTGATTGCCACACCTCATCCTGCATGGTGCTAGCCATGCCACGAGATGAAATTCACTCCGGTCAGCAAAGTTCAAGAGCTCAAACACTGCACGTTTGAATGTGATCGCGGTATCTATTCTTATTTAAAACGCACCACACGTGCGTTAACAAAATGTTGGATCCTGCTCCCACCGATCACTATATCACACGCGATCGAGGTTACACCAGGTAACAAATGTAAGAGCATTCATTTTTTTTATCATGCACGGGGCTTCGAACGATTGTTGAACGCGTCCGAAGTGATTGACTGCTCGCACAGCACTCTGGGACTATTTTGCATATGTACACACTTAATCTAGTTCGGTAAAATCTCCAACAGCTGATAACCTCGGCATTTACTTTTCCTGATATCTCTGCAAAATATTTGTTTGTTAGCTGATATCTCAGCGAAATGTTATTTGTTAAATGAGTCTCGGCAATTGTTTTACTGAATCTCAGCAACACAAATCACTCGGCTGTTGGAATCTTGGCGAAAAAAATTAAGTGTGTATGTAGACATATTAGAGTGGTTCAAAATATCGATTTTGCTCCACCAAGCTCAATCAATTCAAATGACCAGTGCAGTAAGAGTTTGCATCCAAATAAACTCAAATTTTGAGAGCGTGATCAGGGCCTGATGTAGATTCAATTAAGCCTGGTGGAACAAAATCGATATTTTTAACCACCCTAGAACATATCCCATAGGACAAAGCGAAACTAATCTTTTCACAATAACTATTTAGATGAACTTAGCAAAAGGTCCTATCTGCATCCTCTTGATCGACTTCCTCTTTTAATAAGCTATGTATTTGTTTTTTTTTTTATTATTATTATGCAGCCATTCCATAGCAACACGATACAGTGGTTCTCAAAATTTCGTAAAAATTGGTAGATTTGCTCCTTATCGCATAATACTAGACCCATATTGATTTATTTTGTCATTAGGGTGACCATTTCCAAAATATTTTTTTCAAGAATAACTTTTTTCAAAAAAATTGAACTTTTGAACCACTGGGCCGATGTCAAAGATCAACAGTCTAGGTAGTCTAGTCGCATAGGAGTATTGAGCAAAAACCCAAACCTTGATAACTTAAAAAATATTTTCTCAAAAACGAAAACAAACACATCGCTGATTGTTTTTAATGTTGTGTAAAACAGCCTAAATTTTCAAGGAAAAATATCAAAACATATTGCGGCCTCTGTCTACAATCCATAAAAGCCATACAATCAATGTGTTTCAAAAAAAATATTCCGATTTTTTAATATCATTATATTTTTCCTAAAAAGTTAATTACCTTTCATTTGATATTTTGATCTTTGGAATAGGCTCAGTGGTTCAAAAGTTTGAAATAAGTCATTTTTGAAAAAAAAAAACGGTTTTTGGACCACCCTAACATGGAAATGGTCACCCTAATGACAAAAAAACGAGTTTAATATTTTTCGATAAGAAACAAAAATACATTTTTTTACGAAATTCTGAGAACCACTATATCGTTTTGCTATGGAATGGCTGATATTAATATTATTATATTTTATTCTCTTGATCGACTTTCTCTTTTAATAAGCTAAGTATTAACAGATTTCGTTCTATTTTTGTCGCACAACTTGATAAAGGAGGTAATTATCTAGCATGACAATCGTAACACACAACAGGTAATAATCTTGCATCTTGCAAGACTTCTTTCATCCAAATCTAAGGTTGCACCATTAAAGTGTCAGACCAAGGCTGGAACTCTGTGGAGCGCTTTTGGGAGCGCAACTTTTCAAAACAGTTCGAGAATCGATCAGGATTGAAGCGAACTGCTACTTTTGGACGGATTCCACGTGTGTTGTTGCCAACCGGACGGCTAAAATACAATCTATCACTGAAGGTTATCGGAGCTTCCATGTTCCTGGTACTCAAAATCCAGCAGACCTGATTTCCCGGGGAATTGCACCTCAAGACATGTGTGTATGTATGTGTGTATTCCCTCTAACCCCCACTGGCCGGCAGTGTTATTATAGAAGAACTCTCTCTACAATGTCGCATTTATGGTCATTGTAGACAGCTTTAGTTCGGGAGTTAGAAGGTGATAGCTCTATTGCAGATCCAGCAACCCATTTCAGAATGTCTGGAGTGTCACGCCCATTCCGAGGCTATTTTCACTCACAATAAGCCTCGCATGTATGCATCACCGTTATCAACTGTATATTGGTTATATATACACACTTCCAGTTTCGAAAATATTTTTTTTCAAACCTGGCATGTAGGTAGGGGAAACGCTCCTATAGTTGCGGTACGTTAGAAGCGTTAGGTTCCTATAGTTGTGCATGGAGAATCAATACACATCTATAGGAACCTAACGCTTCTAACGTACCGCAACTATAGGAGCGTTTACCCTATGTAGTTTAATTTTGATATTTTTTTTTAAATCATTGGAAAGCTCTCAC